GCAGTGAGGTTCACGGTGAGCTGGGTGTCATTGAACACTTCCTCTGTAACCCTTTCCCCCTACCCTGCCTCCCACCGGGAGTTAAGGTGGCCACACACGCTTCCAGCCCCAGCACCCAGCTGCGCTGGGGCACAGAGCAGGCAGGCTCTCTGGAAATGGCCCCCACAGAGTCACACTTTTTACTGCTGAAGCGGAGCAGGAGCTTAGAGAGGACTCAGGTTTTGGCTGGGAAACTTTGTGGTCCACCTTGGGGTTGAAATCTGGCTCTGTTCCTTCGTGCTGTGTGACTTCAGGCACCAACACATCCTCGCTGAGCCTTGGTCCTCCTGTGAAGTGGGGCTGACAGTAAATGGAACCACGGGCCCTGGCCGGCGTGGCTCAGTTGGTTGAGTGTCGTCTCGTGCGTGCTCTGAAAAGGCCACCCACCGGCTCCATTCCCGGTCAGGCCACACACCCGGGGTTCGGTTCGAATCCTGTTCGGGGTGCGGGAAGGAGGCAATGGATCGCTGTTTCCCTCTCACATTGATGTCTCTCTCTCCCTCCCTCTCCCTTTCTTTCTCTTAAAAAATAAATAAAACACTTTTTTAAAATAGAGCCACCTCCTAAGGTCTTTGGGAGGATGAAGTGGGGCCCGTGTACCGTGTCTGGCACAGAGGCGGGTCTCCTTCTGCCGGCACAGGGAGGGGGGACTGGCCATGCTGGCCCCCCCGCCCCCCCTCCCCCCCCACCCCCCGGTTCTCTGAGCCTCCGTTTCTCCTCCTGGAGTAAAGGGACAGTGATCCCTGCTCGGCGGGTTGCTGCGAGGGTTTTGTGGGATGAGGCACATCAACTTTCTGGCTTGTGGGCCTCTGCTCAAAGGATGACCCACAGGGTTGATGGGGCTGGTCCATGGACCTCAAGGTTGGACAGGGTGGGGAGCTGCCAGCAAAGCAGCCATGGCCAGCATTTGTTCATTCCCATTTCATTCTTGGTTGCACTTCACATGACAACTTTATGGGCCCTCTGGGGAGCTGCCAGCTTGCCTATCAGTTTGGCTCATGTGGGCCAAGCCAGCTTGGGCACCAATGGTCGTGAGGGCTACAAGGAGGGAGGCTGAGGAGGGGCTGTCTTGCTGGGGCCTGATCAGGTTGCCTGTGCCCATGTGTCTGTCCCCATCCCTCCTCTTAGGAGTGCAGTCTCCCCGAAAATAGTCTGGCAAATAGTAGGTGCCCAATAAATGTTGCATGAATGAACGACGGTATGAATGAATGATGTCTATCTTTTTTGTTTTCTTTCGCTTACAGTCTCTAACTTAAGTTCTCTGGGTTTCTGTCTGACCTTTCTCACTTTCTTTATTTTTAAAATATATTTTTTATTACTTATTTCAGAGAGAATGGGAGAGGGAGAGGGAGAGATAGAAACATCAATGATGAGAGAGAATCATTGATCGGCAGCCTCCTGCACGCCCCACACTGGGGATTGAGCCTGCAACCCAGGCATGTGCCCTGACTGGGAATCGAACCATGACCTCCTGGTTCATAGGTCGACGCTCAACCACTGAGCCATGCAGCCGGGCTATTTCTTTACTTATTCAACAAATGCCTAATAGCACCCCCTACATGCCTGATCCATGCTGGACAATGCAGGGGCCCTGTCCTGGGGAAGCTCTCAGGCTGGGGGAGACACAGACACTCAGTATCTTCCTCTAACGCATTCTAGTGGGGCAGGGAGGGGAGGACTCGGAGACGCAGGGGACACCAAGGAGGACCTGGTCAGAGAGGTAACCAAGGGCCCGCAGGGCCACCCACACTGGTTCTCTTGCTCTCTTCCTTTGCTTCTCTCACGCTCCAGCTCCGCCTGGGTTCCCCTGCCCAGGTGCTGCCCCCGCCACCAGTCCCCCCGCTCTCACTCTGGCAGAGATTGATGGATGGGCTGGGGTCTAATTCCTGCAGGTTTCCTGGAGGAAGCAGCCTCAAACCAGAGCTTTGAAGAATGGAACAGCAGGGAAGACTGTGCAGAGGGAAAGGAGACTTGAGGCTGAACCAGAGGGTCTGGGATGGGGAATCTGAACTCAGAGACAGAGGGAGCTGGGGCCTGGGCTGGGACTGCCTTTGTCGGACAAACCCCCTTTTTGGGGCCTACTGTTTGCTTGGGGGAGAAATGAGGAAGCAGAGGAGATACAAGACTGATGGTGAGAAGTCGTGGGGCCGGGTGTGAATGAAATACAGATGTTGTGTCCACTGCATAATCTAATGAGGCTACAAAGAAGCATCTTTAAAATCTTTCTTGGGAGAGAATTTTGAGCTAGAAAGTGAGAGAAAGCAGTGCTGTTTCTTGAGCACCTACTACGTGCATGAGGCATATGTTGCCTTGTGTAATCCTCCCCTGCATCCCCTCATTCTCTACTTTATGAGATAAAGAATCCGAGGCTCAGGGAGGTAGACAGGCTTGTCCGGTCACACAGCTAGGGGGTAGAGGAAACAGCATTTGAACCCAGACCTGAAGGCAAAGCCCTAGGTATTCCAGGGTCTGGAAGGTTCGGAAGAAGGTCAGGCCCCTGCTCTTGAAGGGCTGGTAAGCTCTTCTAGGTCACCCCTGCCTTTCCAGAAGCCAAACTGAGGGGCTGCGCTAGGGCCGCAAGCTCTTTCCTGCAGGTGATGCCCTGATAACCGGGTCTGGGGGTATTAAACACTCCCCTCCCCCAATTAAAAGCAGAAAGGAAGATGCTGCATACAATCAAGCCTCCTCCTTTTCCTGCAGAACCCTAATTTGCGGACAGTGGTTTAATTGTCTTCCCAGCAAGCCCAACCCTGCTCGGGCCCTGGGGCTGGAGAACACAATTGTGTCCTCAAAAATCTATAATTATACCCGCCTCCCCAGGGGCTGGCTGTGAGGAGTTACCTGGCAGGGAGGAGGGCTCAGGGACAGGAGGAAGTCAAAGAGGAGACATGGATTTTATGTCCTAAACTCAGCGGGGATGCTAATGTGGAGATTGGGGGTCTGGGTGGCTGGAGGGAGGAGGTGGGGGTGGGGGATCGGGAAGAGGAGCTGCAGGAGCAAGTTCTAGAAATTATCGGCTTCCACTCTAGAGCCCTCTAGAACTGGGTGCAAATGTAACTATCTACTCACTCTTAACCTCTCTGAGCCTCAGTCTTCCCACCTGGAAATGGGCATCATAGTGATCACACCTGCTCCTTAGCATAATGGTGGGAACATGAGAAATGTGTGTAAAGGGTTTGGCTCAGTGCCTGCCACAAACCAAGGACTCTGTATTTCTTAGAGTTTGTTATTGCATCGTCATCATAGCATCAGGGGGTCACCTACCAGTTTCTGGTGCCGACAGGATGTTTTCACTCGCAGAGTTAGGAGAGGGAGCAAGAACCTCTCGCCAGTGCGCGCTGCCACTTTTGGGGGAGGTGGGAGGAACTGGCTGCCCTTGTCTAGTGTTAGGAAGCGGATGCCGAAGGGTGGAGTCTGGCGGCTGAATTTCACCTGATAATTCGGACCAGATTCTGAGGCTGATGGCCCCCTGGGTCTTGGTCACAACTGCTGGTCAGATGTAGGTTCAAAACCCAGTTCTGTGAATCTTGGGCAAGTCCTGTCATCTTTCTGAGCCTCGTTTTCCTCATCTGTCGAATGGGAGTGAGTGGATTAGAGACAGTGTCTGCCTGGTGCTAAGATGCTCAATGAACGTTGTGCATTTTTTTTTAAGGCTCTCTGGCTTTCCCCTCTTATTGCCTTGGCTCACAACACTCCCTTTCTTCTTGCCTCTGCCACCCGTCCTTCAGGGCCCAGCTCAAGCTTCCCTTCCCCCAGTAGCAGTGACCCATCCCTCAGATTGTCTGAGCTGGTGGGGTTCTCCAACCATGAATTCTAATCCCCATTGTACAGAGGAACAAATTGAGGTTCAGAGAGGAGGAAAGATTCTCCCAAAGTCACACAGCAAGTCTTTGGCAAAAACAGGCTCAGTTCTCCGTTCCTGGCTCCCAATCCTGCACTCGCGGTGCCTTCTCAAATACACAGCTTCTCCCTGAGTGAAGGGTCCCCCGGTGGTGGGTCCTTGGGGCGGTGCCTGGAACAGGCCTTCATGTTGCCACCGGTAAACAGGGAGACTCAGATATGCCATCCAATGCCCAGAGCCTCAGTTTCCCACTTGTCCTGAAGACATACTGCCCCCTTCACCACTAAGGTTGGAGCCAATGGATCCTGAGGGGCCCTTCCCCACCCCACCCCACCTAGGCAGTTCCTAGGAGGAATCAGAGAGAATCTGGGACCAGAGCCCACACCCACAGCCAACTCACGTGGCCCCATGAGTTCTCGGAGCCAGACTCTCTCTCCGTCTTCTCACCAAAAGCCACCCCGTGCCCACTCCTGACTCAGGACTGTCTGGGCAACACCTCCTCTAGGAAGCCTCCCCATGGCCTCAGGCTGGGTCACATGTCTCCTCTGTGCCCGCCCAGGCCTTGCGCTCAGAATAAAACAGACCCCCTCTGGCCCCCACAGCCCTTCCTTCCACTTGTGTTTCTGCCCTGCTGGGTGGGGCCTCGAGGGCTGCAGTGGCAAGATGGGGCCGGGTGGGAGGGCCGACAGAGGCAGCATTCCTGGGTGACCGCTACACTGAGCATTGGGGTTGGGAATAACCCGGGAGGGGCCTGGGGTGCAGGCGCCTGGAGAAATCTGGAAGAATTGATGAGACGGGCAGCTTCCTTCCTGGCCTCCTGGCCTTCTTGCTCACATCTTGCTACCCCGCCTCCTCCGACCCATTGCTCCCTGCGTGAGTCTCTGGTGGTGCCACGGGCTCTGGGACAGAAGCCGGGCTCCAGTGGGGCATTCGGGGCCCTGGGCCAGCTCCTTCCTCCCCCGTCTGGCCAGCTGCTGCTGCACACCCCTCGCTGACTTCTGCAGGGGCCCCAACCGCAGGCCTGGCGGCTCCCACCTCTCCACCTCTCCCAGCCACCAGCGCTGTGCCTGCAGCCCAGTTTCCTGAGCCCCGGCTACTCCTCCCCCATTTCTCCGCACAGCCCTGTTCACAGAGACGCCCCACGACATGACGGCGCGGACGGGCGAGGACGTGGAGATGGCCTGCTCCTTCCGCGGCAGCGGCTCCCCCTCCTACTCGCTGGAGATCCAGTGGTGGTACGTGCGGAGCCACAGGGACTGGACCGACAAGCAGGCGTGGGCCTCGAATCAGGTACTGCCGCCCAGAACCCGGCCCTGGGTGGGGTGTCTCTGACCTTCATCTCTTCTGAGGGGTCTGTCCCCAGCAGCACCCACCTCTCTCCCTCCCCCACCCCCTCCTTCTGAATTGGAGGCTTGGTTTCCGGCAGGAGGCAGAGCCGGGCTGAGCACTTGGGATGGGCACCACCAGAGAGCCCTCCATAGAGCACAGAGTGCAGCCACGGGCAGCTACACTTCCATGTACAGTTGGGGAAACCGAGGCAGAGGGACAGAAGCTAGTTCCAAGTGATCTCCTGACTCACCTCCCCCCACTGCTCCGAGCTAAAGGACAGCTGTGTTGGAAAGGCCCCTGCGAACACGCAGACACTGTTGCCGAGTTCAGAGCACCATGCATGTCCCCTTCCACACACGTGCAGCACACCCCTGCGGCCGGCCTCCGTGCATGCATTGGCCTCCACGCACCGACACGTTCATATGTGCCAGCCACGGGACCAGATGCTGTGGATGTCCCTGCCCACACACCCGGGCATACACCACCCCCTGCCACCAGCCCCACTGCCAACTGCCAGCCCCGTGACTCTATCTGAGGGTTTTCTGTGGACAACAGAGCCTGCTGGTCAGGGAGGCCGGCTGGAGGAGCACTCCGCCATGAGCCACAGGAGTTGGAGGATAGTCCCCCAGTGCCCTCGCCCCTCAGCTGGGAGAAATGAAGAGGTCTGTGCTCTCTCCTGAGGTGCCCAGTGGGAGTAAGTTCCAGTTGCCCACGGTGGGTGCTGGCTTGATGATGCACCCATTACTGACCTCCTCCCTTTCTTGTCCCCCTCACTCACTCCCCTACTGATGTTTCCTGGCATCACCTCCTAATAAGCTACTTGCACTCAAGTCTTTGTCTTAGGGCTGCATCTGGGGGAACCAAAGCTGAAACTCTTTTATTCTCACACTTGTGTATATGCAAATAATATGCAAACACACCCTCTCTGCCCACCCACTCCCATCTGAACACATACATTCACACACCTCCCTGTGCACACATGGGGGTGGTCACACATTCTCGCAGGTTCAGGAGAGAGCTTCTCACATAGTCACAAACCCGTATTAAACTCTGTCCTGCTCCTGGGAGTGGCGACTCCCCACCTCACAGGCTCAGAGGACTCCGGTGCTCAGAGAGGGCCCTGAGGCCGGTGCTGGTCTTTGCAGCTGGGTCCCTCCGGGCCAGCTTGCAGGGTCCCTCCGGGCCAGCTTGCAGGGAACAGCTTGCGGGCAGGGCTCCAACAGTATCTGCTGCAGACACTCGCTCATGTGTGTGACACACCTGAAAATACAACCCCTTCACAGATACAGGCACAGGTGTACAGACAGGCACACCACGCAGACTCACGTTTCTGCCTTCACACGTACCCACCCCATTTATCCCCAGATACAGTCGGTTTTACCCGGACTCACTTCCTCTTCCTGAGTGGACACAGAGCTGAGGGACCCCCAGCTCTGGATCCCAGGGTCCCCAGAGTTCACCCGCTGCTAGAATCTTAGCTGTTGTCCGAACCCCCACCCAGTGGTGCTAATGGCTTCTCTCTGCTTTCTCCGCCCCGCCTGCTCCCAACAGCTAAAAGCATCCCAGCAGGAAGACGCAGGGAAGGACGCCACCAAAATAAGTGTGAGTTCTGTAATGACTTCTCGCAAGGGCTCTAATGGAGGACACAGCTGTAATTTAAAAAAAATTTTTGGTCCAGTACCGCAGGGAGCTTGGGCAAGAGGATGGAGGAGAAGAAAAACAAGGGGGAGGGGAAATGGCTCTGATCTGTTTTTTAAAAGCTGGAGATTTTTCAAGTTCATTGAATGACAGGCACAAAAAATGACAGGGGGAGAGAAGACGCATTCTCTCCTGTCGGGAACCAAGGCTGTGAGCGTCCCTGATGCTTCATGTCTGTCTCAGCAGCATTTTTTATTTGGGGAACCAACAGGGCCTAATGAGACTGAGCTGGCTTTTTTCGGCCCATCACGACTGACAGCCGCAGCCTCTCACGGTCACTTGGGTGCTCTGGCTCCTGGGGTGAGGGGGTGGGGGAGCTGTGCCGAAGGATTCGAGGACTGGCTAGGCCTTTTATGCATGGACTCATTTTATCATTGCTCCACCTCCATAGGGAAGGGCCAACACTCACCCATTTTACAGGTGGGGCAACTGAGGCCTAGAGACTTGCTAGAGGGCATGGTGTGACTGAGCTGACTCCAGTTCTTTGTCTGTAGGCTATACTGGAGAGAGTGACAGTTTTTGTGGTGGAGGGGCAACCAAAGAGGGGCCTAGGAGAGGCAGGCAGAATAGAGAAAGGAGGCGAAAGGGACTGAGCAGAAGGGACGGCCTGCGGATGCATGTGGCCATGAACCAGCTGGGATTGCACATGGGGCAGGAGGTCATCCTGGCAGGAAGCCAGAGCCCACACCAACACACTCAGGAAATGCAGGTGCTCAGGGGTATGGGTGTGTACGCATGGGGAGGGGCCTCCAAGTTCGTTCTTCTGCTGCTGCTTCCACAACTTTTCAAGGACTTGGGGAGCTCAGGACCCCAAAGGTGACTAGATACAGACACACCAAGGAGCCACAGCAGAAGTCACAGTGTCGAGCAGGCACTGGGAGGGATGGGGTGGCAGAGTGGAGGCAGGAGGCCTGGGAGGAGGCTCCCACAGCTTCTCAGACAAAAGGTGGGCAGACGAGAGGGGAGGAGAGGGCCGTAAGAGCATCATTTGTGCTGTTTGCTGCAGGGCCTTTCAGAGTTGGGGTCTAGAAATTTGAGCCATTTCCAGTTTAGGGTGGATGCTGGTCCACCCCTCTCCACACCCGGCCCCTCACCCTCACCCTCTCTGCCAGGGGCACATCCATATGTGATGTCCCGTTTCTTGCTCAAACACCACCTGGTAAGTCCAGGCAGGTGGAGATCTCTGTATATTTATATACCCCGCTTATCGAAACTCTCTCTCCTATGATTTTGTTTGGGGTTTAAGGAGCATCTCAGGCAAAAGAGAGAATAATCTAATTGATTTTAGAGGATTAGAATTAGAGGCTGCTGGCCCCACGTGAGGAGAATGCGAAGATGCTAATTAGATAATAAAATAAACGCACTCAGACTGATTGTGCAGCCACTCTCCCCCCACCTTGGCCCCTGATTTCCTGCACCAGCTGGGGCTCTCGGGGTCTGGTTGGGGTCTCACAGACTGCTTCTCCTGCAGACAGCGTCACACACGTGACTGCTCTTAAATACACGGACGTTTAGTTGGCAGCACCATCAGCAGATGCCCACCCTGGTTTCCTGCAGTCTAGGAGAAGCTCAGACTTTTCCTGTCATCTTCAAGGCTCTGGGCTCCCTGCTCACCCTCTGGGCTGTCTCATCTTGCTTGACCCGGCTCCCCTGCCCCTCCCAACCCTGCTGCCTTTCTGCCTTCTCACAGGCCAGTCCCTGTCTGTTCCTCTCTCTTCCTTTAGCACTAAAGTCAGGAAACCTTCCTTGACCCTGTGACTCAGCGGGCATCTTACTTTCCCCCGCTGGCTGCATTTCCTTTTGTAATTATCCATCCTGTGACTCCCCTGGAGACAGTAGGGCTGAACTGTGCCTGCTTGATTCACTGTTACAGTTCCAGAGCCTAGCACAGTGCCTGGCCGGTGTGGCTCAGTTGGTTGGGCATCATCCTGTGCACCGAAAGGTTGCTGGTTCGATTTCTCATCAGGGCACATGCCAAAGTTTTGGGGGTTGGTCCTGGTAGGGGGCGTGCAGGAGGCAGCTAATCGATGTTACTCTCTCACATTGATGTTTCTCTCTCTCTCCCTCTCCCTTCCTATCTCTCTAAAAATCAATAAGCTATTCTTCAAAAAAATTATCAAATGACTATTACACATACATACCTAGCCTCAGTATGTGTACAGGTGATGTGAAGGACTCGTGCAGGGCTTCACTCCTTCACGTCCAGCAGAACCCAAGCACTGTTCTGGCCCAACAGTTACATGTCTTCTAAAAATCCCAATTTTAGTGGAATATCTCCTGATATTTATTTATTTATTTTTGTTCATCCTCACCTGAGGATATTTTTTCCATTGATTTTCAGAGAGAGTGGAAGGGAGGGAGGCCGGGGGTGGGGGTGGGGCAGAGAGAGAGAGAGAGAGAGAGAAACATTGATGTGAGAGAGACATTAATTGGTTGCCTCCTGCAGGTGCCCCAACTGAGGCTAAGGATTGAACCTGAAACCCAGGTATGTGCCCTTGACTGGGAATTGAGCCCAAGACCCTTTGGTCCCCTCTGCTATAGGCCAACATGCTAACCACAGAGTCTAACCGGCCAGGGCAATATCTCCTGATTTTTAACTATTGGGACCTAATGTGATTTTTGGAAACATCATGGGGGCCAAACAATGCAGCCTACCAGCTGGGTAGCATTGGGGTTCTGAAGGAGGGAGTACAGTTAGCTTCCAGGGGCCTGTGGGCGGGGGGAGGGGGGGAGAATGGTAACCCTGGGAGGGTGCAGAGGGTCTGTGCTGTGCTGAGCGGGGGTGGGGGGGGTGGGGGGTGATTGTGAGGACACACTGGGGCCAGCACGGAAGTCCCGGGAGCTGAGTCCTGGCTCCAGCTCTGCCACCCCCTGCGCCTCCCTTTCCCCCTCACTGATGTCCGACACCTGTATGCAAACACTTTGGAAACGGTAAAGTCCTATGGATATGGCCGTGCGGATGACTGTGGTTACTAGAATGGAAACAACATGAATCTGTAAATTACAGATTCTTATTCCCAGCGCACGGGGGTGGGGGCGGGGGTGGAGCAGTGAAAGAGGCCCAGCTTTTCTGCAGGAAATCGGAGGGGAACCAAGGGATCGCTTATGTGGGTGGGAGGACAGGCACCTGGGATAAAATAGTAATAACAATAATAATAATGCAGTTACCATTCATTGAGTGCTTAGCATGTCAGGAACCTTGCTGAGTGCTTTACAGGAATTATCTCATTTAGCTAGGGGCCTGGGGAAGGGCCTCTGGCCTTAGAAACATCTCCCTGGGTGGTTGAGTCTTATTCCTGTGATTCAGGCAAATCCTCCTGCTTATCGGCCATTTTCAAGTTCTGGAAGTTGTTCTTTTGATCGAATTGAAGTTCTTTGTTTTACACTTTAGGTTAATTTCCCCTTAACCAGTTTTGCAAGTAGAAATGGTTCCCAACTTCCTAATTTTAAGATGAGGTGAAGTTCTCCACACACACCTTTGTTCCCAGTGGCCCAACTGCCTTCTTCACCGGTAGTTCCTCCTTCCGTCTCACTGAAGTTGTTGGTGCTGTAGACTCAGTTCATGTCACCTGCTTCAGTCTGAGCCACGGGAAGCCCAGGTCCCGTGTACACGTGGCTTAGTGCTCTGGCCCACTCATCCCAACCTGCTACCCCCCACCCCCGCCGGGCCCACCCAAACCCCCAAAGCCAGGAACAGCCAAGGGGTCTCAGGAAGCACTCTGCAGCCCCACCGAGAATCTCCGTAATTGGTTAGTTAAGAGGCAGCAGCGTTTGTCAGGTCAACCAAGCGGCCTGCAGGTCAAGCCCCTCCTGCCCTGCCTGGCTGCCCCCTGCGTGGGTGCCGCACGGATGGGGTTGGGGGTGGGGGCCGGGAGCAGTCCACGAAGTCTGCCTTATCAGGCCAAGCGGTGGGTCAGGGTGCCCTGTGATTTCATTTTCTGCTATAGAAATTTCTATCTTTTCTTGAAATTCCTGCCGTAACTCACAGCACACGTTAGGCATTAAGTCCTGCAGTCTGCAAGGAAGGCGAGGCGAGACTCATGTGGAGGCAAAAATCACTCCATCTGTTACCAGGGAAGTTGAGGTGTCCCTTTCCCCCCTGAGTGCGGGGGGTGGAGTCCTCATGATATCTCCAGAAAAGGAATTTTCTGAGACTCACACAGGAGGATGAGTAATTTATTTGTGTGGTTACACCCTGGGTTTCCCAAGGCCCATTTCCCTTAGTCCAGTCATAGAAGAAGTGCAGCGGGGGCTTCAGTAGAGCTAGAAGCAAAGCCGTTGGCCCGAGTTTCTGTTCCACATTGCAGCCGGGTCCAGTCCAGCATCAGGCTGGTTACGGTCCGTTCGTCCATTGTGTGTGGGGTCCACATGGCTATGGGCCACACGGGAGAATGCCAGGAAGCATGTGTTTAGGGGATTAAATGGCTCAAGTTTCACACCCTTGCAGTGGCCAGGCCCATTCTGGCCAATGACCTGTCCCCAGGTGTGACTGGCAGACAAGTGCATCCCTGATGTCACCCCCACTTTCCTGGGCATGCACCCATCTTCCCTTTCCCTTCCCCTGGGGAGTGCAAAGTTGTAGCTTCCTGGTGAAGCTGCCCAAATGACATGCCTGTAATAGTCTGGGTTTCAGGTTCAATCCCTAGCCCCAATGTAATAGTTGGCCTTCCCTTTGCTCCTTTCCTGTCATTAATAACTATGCTAATTACAACTGTATCACATCCATCCTGGGAATCCCTCGAAACATCCATAGAGCAGCTGGGCTGCAGTTGAGGGCCACGAAGATGCCTGTGAAGGCCATGGTCACACACACCCAAGCCCCCAGGGTGCTCCCAGTCGGTGTGGGAGATGGATGTTAACCCAATAATCACATGATGAAAAGTCAAGTGACAATTGTGATCATCAACATGAGGAGAGCTGCTTGGAAGTCTGAGCCAGTAACAGGACCTCACCTAGAGTGGGGGGGCCTGGAGGGCTTCCTGGAGGAGGTGCTATTTGAGATGAGCACTGAAGTATAGAGGGGTTGACTAGCAGAAAAGGGAACGTCTCTGGCTGTGTGTGTTGGAGGAACGACTGGAGGCTGATGTGGCTGCGGAGAGGCAGGGATGAGACCCCAAAGTGCTCCCCCTCCTGACAGTCACTTCAGGGAGCAGTAGAAGGAAAGCTTCTAAGTTGGGGGCATTTTGAAAAGATGTTTGGCTGTCATGGGAGGACAGGTTGGAAGAGGCCAGAGTGGCTCCACAGGGACCGGGAGGAGGCTGGGGTGATGACCCAGATGAGACAAGCTGGGGCCTTGCTCTGGCCAGTGCGCGAGGATCTGGATTCTGGAGGGAAGGAGAGGGGCCCAGTGATGTTCAGGGGAAAGATCAATGGGCTTCGGAGATGGACTGTGCCTGAGTGTGGAAGCAGCGTTGGGAATGATGACTTGGGAGGGTCAGGCTACAGTGGGTGAGGCTTTCTGGGGCCCAGATTTGGGGAGACCCTGAGTTGGGTTCTTGAACATTCAGGCAGGCTGCTGGAGTGGCTGGGTGTTGCTGATGGAGGCACAGGAGTGGCAGAGCTCCGAGCAGGAGCTGGCCTGGGACAGGGACCATCTGACCCCTGTTCCCCACCCCAGCACCTCCCCGGGCCCACCACATCTTAGGCCTCAGCCATGAGGCCACACGTAGAAAAGGCCTGGCACCAGGCACCCACATTGACGGTGCTCAGGAGAAATACCATCCTGTCTGCCGGACGGCCAAGGGGCCCTGCCGTGCCTGCAAAGGCCTGGGCCACAGGCGAGCAGGGAAGAGGCTGAGCCTGGTCACGGTGTGGACTTGCCTTGTTTCTTTCAGCGTAATTAGGTGCTTAATTGCACCACTAGGGCCTGTCGATGCCTGTGCTGCAGTGATTATGATTTACAGCCGGGCGGCCGTGTGGGGGTCTCTTCTTCTGGCCTCTTCCGTCTCATTGGACGTCTGGGCCGCAGGATTTTCTGCCCAATTTGTGAATGATGAGATCCAACAGGCTGCTTCTGCCACCCCCAGGAAGCAGGGCAGGATGATGGGGTCCCTCCCACAGGCTGTCTCTGAGAAGGGCTGGGCCCCCCTAAAGCACGGAGGGTTGGGGGCCTGGGGAATGAGGTGGGGGGTGTGTGGAAAGACAGACTGAGGTTCCCTGGTCTTGGGAGGCTCCCCAGAGCTGTGTTTAAGGCCTGGTTTCTCTCATCAGCTGGGGCCTTGCATAGGCTGGTTTCCCTACCTGGGTGCTCTGCATCAAGGAGTTATCTCGAGGTTTAGATAAGATGTGTGAAGCTTTAGCACATCATCTCACAGTGACCACACTCCATAAACACTAGCTACCAGCACCAGGATCACTGTTATTGTTCTCAGTATTTGCCTTCTCCAGACGGCGCTTGGCACAGATCGCTGGGGCTGGGAGGGGGCAGTGTGTATGTGTCCTCTGTCCCATTAGAACCAGCTCACTGTGGTGCTGGATTACAGGTGTGAGGTCTGGATCCTCCATGTGACCAGGAGCCCATGCGGGCATTGCTCAGAGGGGGCGCTTGATAAATGTGTGTCAAATGAATGGATGATCCAGCCCAAGAAAACCAGGGCCAGGGGGCCTTGACTGTCAGGATCAGAGCCCAGCCTCCCGCACCCCTACGGTGTGCTCAGTCCCCCTCCTCCTCTGGTGGGGAGGGGACTGGGGAAGAGCTTCTGAAAGCCACATGTGTTTGCTGGCAGAGGGGTGACAGGGTGGGAGGGAGCTGGGGGAGGAGGGAGCCTGTCCAAGCCTTAGCACCCTGAGGTGAGTGAGGGTGGGCTGAGGGGTGGGCCACGCTCCATGCTCCCTCCCTAGGAGCGGCTGCTCCCAGCGCTTCGCATTATTACTCCATTAGCGCCTTGTAGGGTTGACAAATGAAGGATAATTAATATCCGTGAGGGAAACAGATGTTGAGGTAATTCATTTCCCGCTGCGCATTTGCAACAGCATCCCCTCACTCCCCGAGAGCATGGCAGGGCCAGAGGACCTCTCCCTGCCCTTGGCCAGAGGTGATGGAATCAGCAGGGCCGACAGCCTCCAGCTGGGCCCAGCCTGGCACTGGGAAGGGGTGCCTGCCCCCACACCAAGAGGGCTGCTGTCAGGTTTCCCACGGCTGGCTGTTGGGAAGTTCTGTCTATGGCCCATGGCCCACCTCGTGCCTCCTGCTGTGCCGCAGTCCATGTTTTCCCGCTTCCTGGGGATGATGGCCAGCCACAGTGCTCGGACTCAGGGAGGACGGGCTGGCTCCCTGCTGCTGCCCACCTGCCCTCTTTCCTTCTGGAGCCTGGGAAGCACCCCCCTCACCACAGCCCTGCCAGCTCCTGGTGACCCTGTGTGGGCCTGTCACACCATTTTGAGGGATAGAATGCATGGAGTCAGGCCTGGGTTCAGTTCCTAGCGCTGCCACTCACTGATTCAGTGCCCATGGGAGAGTCACTCCTCCTTCTGGAGCCTTAGTCTCACCATCTGTGAAGTGGGTATAATTGTGTGTATGTGACCTCAAGTTAGCAAGCCTGGGTACCACTTCATTTGGAGAAAGAAGGAACTACAGTGAGTCCATTCATCCAACAATTTATTATTATTATTATTATTATTATTACTATTATTTACAGGGTACCAGGCCAAGTGGTGGTCACTAAAATGAACAAAATATATATTCCTGTCTTCATGGAATTTATAGTTGAGCCAGAGAGAAAAACAAACATCAAATCAACAGACAAATCAATTAAATGGTTCTCAAATTGTGATGACTGCTATGAAGGAAACAGAGTTGTGATGGAAGGCTTCTTGGAGGAGGTGATGTTCGAGAATGAATGGGAGTCAAGTAGGTGAAGAGAGATGGGGCAGAGCACCCAGGTAGGGAAACCAGCCTATGCAAAGGCCCTGGGGTCAGAGAGAGCTTAGCATTTGGGAGGAGATGAGAAGGCACCAGGGAGGCCAGAGCAGACCAGTGAGATGATTGGAAGTTACATGTGTGAGGGCCCAGCATAGTCTCTGAAACAAGTCTGCGGAGTGAATGAACCCCATCAGAGACTGTCCTCCTCCTCATCCTGGCCTCCTCACTGTGTGAGTGATCAGCAGGGCTTCCGCCTCCAGGAGTTGGGGCCTGGCAAGAACAGACCAGCTGAGGGGCCAGTAGAGCTCAGTGCCAGGGCCCCAGGTCTGGAGCCTACGCAGCTCCCGCCTGAGCCTGGAGAGCCTGTACGTGAGAGGTGGTGAGATCACTGGGAAGCGGGTCACTAGCTGGCAGTTGGGAACGGATCTCCAATGTCCTGTCTAGGTGGGGTGGGGGCTGCAGGAGGTGGGGCAGGGAAGGAGGAAGGGTCTAAGTACTAAGGGGCAGGGAAGGATGAAAGCCCCGCTCACCTTTACCCCCCTCTCCACAGGCCCAACCGCCCCCCCCCCCTGCCGTCCCTTTTTCTAACTTTCTACATTTTGAATTATAGACTCACAGGAAGTTGCAAAAACAGTCTCTTGTATCCTTCACCTAGCTTTCCCAGTGATCGCATGATGGAATGCTACACAGCAATGAAAAAGAACAAACATAGACATGCAACAACATGGAGAATCTCGCTGATACTATGTTGTGTGAAAGAAGCTACACATAAAGAGTTCAAGAACAGGCTGCACTGAACTATAGCTATAGGAGTCAGAGTAGTAGTTAACCCCATGGGGGGAACGTTGGTGAGGAAGGGCCACAAGGGTGCGCCCTAGGGTTATAAATGGTCTTGCCTTGCTCTGGTTGGTGGTTGCACAAGGAAACACTTGTGTGCACTTATAAAATTTTATCAAGTGTGCACTTTGCTGTGTATAAGTTAAATTTCAATTTTTAAATAAAATTTAAAATCCCAATCAAAGACATAAACAAAAAGCCAAAGTAGAAAGACAAATATCACAGACACTTGTTCTGTTCACCCCAACAGGGATGAACAATTATTGAAATGCTGATATATTTGTGATCAGCCTGTATTTTTTAAAAATATATTTTTATTGATCTCAGAGAGGAAAGAAAAGGGAGAGGGAGATAGAAACATCAATGGTAAGAGAAAATCATCGAGCGGATCGATCCTGCAACCTGGGCCTATGCCCTGACCGAGAATTGAACCATGACCTCCTGGTTCATAGGTCAATGCTCAACCACTGGCCCAGGCTGTGTTTGTTTGTTTGTTTGTTTGTTTACGAAATAAGACATTTTGGACTAAGCTAAGAACTCACTTTGCATTCCTCCCCAGTCCACAGCCCTCTCCTGGGCTGTATCCTCAAGGCAGCCTCTGATATGAGGCCAGCATTCCCTGCTGTGTATTTTAAACTTGTACACACACAAGTCTCCAAAACCAGAATAGAGTGTTTTTATGTGTTTATTTACAGAAATGGTAGGAGTTTTGCAATGAGATCTCACTTCCTGCGTGTCACTGAGCTGTGACATGCCTGGCCCTAGGGTATTCCTTTTAACTGTTGTGCCGTGTTCCATGGAATGAACTGACTTCCGCTTATGTGTCTGCTCTGTGGATAGACATTTAAGTTGCTTCTACCTTTTTGCTATTGAACTCCCTGTGCCCTGGTGGGGGTGTCTCTGGGGCCCTGCCCTAGCAGCGGGCTGACACTCTCGTCTTCCCGCTGCCCCAAGGCCAGGTCACGGTCTCTCTGTCGCCCCCAGGTGGTCAAAGTGGTGGGCAGTAACATCTCCCACAAGCTGCGCCTGTCCCGGGTGAAGCCCACAGACGAAGGCACCTACGAGTGCCGGGTCATCGACTTCAGCGACGGCAAGGCCCGGCACCACAAGGTCAAGGCCTACCTGCGGGTGCAGCCCGGGGAGAACTCGGTCCTGCATCTGCCCGAAGCCCCGCCCGCCGCGCCCGCCCCGCCGCCCCCCAAGCCGGGCAAGGAGCTGCGGAAGCGGTCTGTGGACGAGGAGGCCTGCAGCCTCTAGATGGACGCTACCCCGCCACGTGCCCCCCCGCGCCCCTAGGCTGTACAGAGTGCATGAGGAGCTGCTGGACTGTGGGGACGGGACTGCCGGGTCCAGCCGCCTCCCCATCCCCGAGACCTGTGGCCACCACCTAGGCCCTCCGACCACCACCCCTTTGCTCAGCATGTAAGCCCCACTCAGCCCTTCCTTTTCAGATCCGTGCGGTGACCTGACCTGGCTCGGAGGAGGTAGCCTTGGGCACCAAGGGGACAACCACTCCAAACATGGGCGCGGGACACCATGCTGGGGCAGGCTGCCCCCTTTGGCCACCAGCTTCAGTGGAGTCCAGTGTTTCGCTTTGCTTGCTTGTCCCCCAATCCTGTCCCTAGGCAGGGCCTCCCAGCCTTACTCTCCCTCCTTTCCACGCTCCCCCACTTGAGCCTGGGGATGTGGACAGCAACCCCTCCCCAGATTTGGACTTGAATCTCTGAGTAGAGCTAGGGCCTCTCCCCTGGGGAAGAGACGGGGCAAGAGCCCCCGGGAGAGCCTTGCTCTGGGGCTGTGGCCTGTTGGGGTCACTCATAGGGACCCTGGGAGGAAAGGGAGACCCCCACTGCCTCCTGGTGGGTCATTCGTGTTCAGCCTCCTTAGACCTAAGAAACAGCTTCCTGCCCCACCCTCTAGGGAGGTGGGCGACCAGGAATCTCTGCCCTTCCTGCAGAGGGCCTCCCCCTCTGCCTCCATGGCCCCATGCAGAGTTTTGCACCAGCAGGACCCCTTTGAGGGTCTTTGAGGCTCTCCCAGGAGCCCCCTCTGCCAGCTCCCAATGTCCCAGCCCTCTCTCTCGGGGTCCATGCCAAGCCCACCCAAGGGCCTGGGGCTGTTGGGACCCCAGTACCAATCCCCTCACAATTCCTGATCAGGGGGACACCCGCCCCTGGTGATGTGTAAATATTTCTATTGGGCCCAACACCCCCTCAGAACTGGCTCAAACCTCTGGCCACCCCTCAGCAATGGCATGGGGGATGTGGGAGAGGTTGAGGGCTTTGCCCCGGGGGGTGGGGGGGGTGGGTAACCCTATATACATGATTCAATCCGTAACTACCAGCCAACCTGAATAAAGTGGTTTAAGAAAACCTCTGGGCTGTGTCTTTTCGGGGCATTTGTGTCTGGGAGCAGCACAGCAGGGGAGGGGGAGAGGGAGGGGACAGGGGGAGGGCTTGGCCAGCCCACACCCACACTTCCCTCAGCATTTTCTCACTTCTGCTTTCTGCTCCCAAGCACGGAACAAGAGCTGGGAGGCGCACAGGGAGAGGGCGAAGGAAAGCCAGCCTTTGTCCAGCACCAGGCACTTGAATTATTCTTAGATTTTGAAGTAATCACAGGTAAAGAAGAGCGCAGAAAACACGTGTACACTGTTTTGTGAATAAATAATGATAAAGCAAGTAAGGGCGAGCCACTGCCACCCAAGCAGCACCCAGAACAGAACCCCCGGGTCGGGCCCAGGTGCCTTTCTGATCCACAGCCCCTCCTCTCTCAGGTAACCAGCACCCTGACTTTTAAGGTCATCATATTCTTAATCATTTTTACAGTTTCACTGCCTATATGCATGTCATCTTAAGCACTATAGCTGAGTATTGCCTATCTTTTTGAACTTTATATACATGGAATCTTACCATCTCTATTCTTGATGCACTGCTATATTTGTGAGGTTCATCCATGTTGTCACGTGTCTGTGATCTGCCCATTTTTATTGCTGTATAACATTCCACTGCAGGAATATCCTACAACCTATGAACTTATTTATCCATTCTGCTGCCGACAAGAATCTGTTTCCCTCTGAGTGCTACCACCGGCCACACTGCCGTGAGCGTTCTAGTCCGTGGCTCCTGAGGCACATGAGCCCGAGAATCTCGGGTGGATTGGCCAGGTCGGAGGGCTGGGCATTGACTGCACTTCAGGGATCTCGTTTTCCTCCCATGAGGTATCGCCATCCCCTGTTACAGCGGAGGAAACAGGCTCAGAGGAGCTAAATAGCTCACCAAGTTCACACATTGAACTCTGCTCTGCCAGCCTGAACCCTACCCCTACACCAGTGGTTCTCAATCTTCCTAATGCCGCGACCCTTTAATACAGTTCCTCATGTTGTGGTGACCCCCAATTTCATTGTTACAAATTGAACATTATTAAAGCATAGTGATTAATCACAAAAACATATGTGTTTTCCGATGGTCTTAGGCGACCCCTGTGAAAGGGTCGTTCGACCCCCAAAGGGGTCGCGACCCACAGGTTGAGAACCGCTGCCCTAAACTCTCCCATCATGCCCTGCGCTTTGGACTCCCCAGGGTTCATTTCAGTGGGAGGTCCCACCCATGGTGGTGGGGCTGAGAATCTGCCTGAAGGTGTGCCCATCTGGGGCTCTCAGGTCAAGCCCTGGTCGCCAGTGTGGCCAGCTGGTCCCTCCTCTGTGCAGAGACCACAAGCACCGCCCACAATGAGCCGGGGCACTGCCTGTCTCCAAGCCGCCCTGGCAGCCAGGCTGAAGGAGCCTCCCTCCTCAAGGGCAGGGGGCTGGGAGCTGTTGAAATGGTGAGTGATGCTGGAGGAGCTCTGTGTGCCCAGGCCCTGTGCTGATCGCCACAGCCCTGAAGGCAGGCTTATATCCTCAGTTTTCAGATGAGGAAACTGAGGTTCAGAGAAGGGTGGGTTGGAGGATGGGTGAATGGATGAATGGGTGGAGGAGGAAATGAATGCACCAGGCTAGGATGCAGGCTAGGATGCAGGCGGGGCTCTGCACCTGTTGCAGAACCCAGGGCTAGATGCTCTCTGACCTGTGGTCCTCTCAGGCCAGCAGCCAGCCTTTACTGAGGGCAGGGTCAGCCTTTACTCGACAAACATGGTCCCCAGTATCTCCAAGACGATGTTAAATTATAGAACTCCTAGAGGACATTCTTTGCCTTGCTTTTACCTTGAATGTAATGCCTCCTGTTTCCAAGGCTGGCTGGTGAGTAGACGGTTGGGGTCTCCTGTGAATGCTTTAGGATACTCAGCACTTATTGATGAGGCACCCAAACACTTCAGTGTGAATGCCCATCTCAAGTGGGCACCTTCCAAGCCAGGTTGAAGAGTATGCCCACTCCACCCCTTTAAAAAAACAAAAAAACATTTCTGGACCGATGCTTATTTTGGTCACCTTCGTGTATAGCTCTGGAAGCCAACAGGTATGGATGGCATTTAGAGCATGGATTTTGGGGTGTGATAGTCATGCATTGAAATTTCAGCTGTGCCGCTTATGAGGAATGCGACGTTAGGCCCACCTCCCCTCCCTGAACCTTCAGGTTTCCTTGCAGAATTTAAGGGGCACGGTGAGCTCAGTTCACATTCACCAGCTTGGGGGAGGGCAGGGCCCAGGAGCCTGCACTGCCAACTAGTTTCTCTGCAAAGTAAGTGTGTGAGCTGCTGGGATAGCACGTGTGCACGGCAGGTTGTCTGAAAAGACACCCACCAAGCTGAGCTGTGGTTACTTCTAAGAAGTGGGACAGCAGGAGTACCCCAGTAGGCTGACAATTTGTCAGGGGCAAGTATTATATCTATCACTTAATATGCATATAAATATTTAAAGAAAACCAACCAGGGCACAAAAGAAAATAAAATGGGGGGAATGGAAGAAGGCCGAGGTTGGTGGCAATCCTGGTATGGGCCCCATCTGGTGTCTGCATCCCATGGACAAGGTCTCTTCCTCGGGTGATGAGAAGCGTGACATGCACGGAGCAGACCCCGGAGCCAGGCCCACCCCACCCCTCCTCCACCTTACTCTCCCACCCTCCTCCCACACCCACTTCTGTTTCCGGCTGTGATTTAGCTTAGGTATTCACACTCCTTTGAAAAGGCCACTTGTCTCAGGAAAGACTTGCCCACTCCCAGCCCGGAGTGTGAATCTTGATGAATCTAAGCTAGGGGCTCTTAACGCAAAGTCCACAGAAAACCCCAACCCAGGGTGGCGGATGAAATGCATGGGATTCGGAAACCTGCACGAAGAGGGGAGGGAGGGAAAGCTACTTGGTTTTCACCAGCCTCCAACTGAAATTTAGCATTTCCTTGTATCATGAATGTAAGCAACAAACCACAGCAGCATTAGCAGTAACTTGTGATTTGTCACCAACAGAAAGCACAGATACCTTCACATCACAAAACAGTTATTCCAGGGATCTCAGAACGCTGTTTACACTCAGCACTACTTCAATTTACGGTTGTTATTAGATCTGCCACTGGATTTTGTTGTTTAATGTGCTAATAAAGAAGCGAGTTTATTCCTATATCACACTTTAAGAAATATATTTTGAAAACCATATTTCAATACAATTGGTTTTGTAATCCTATCATTTTGTTTTATGACGTTAAAGACACTATGCTGAGAAGGGTCCGTACGTTTGGCCAGTCTGTGGAAGGCGTTTATGGGACAGATATGGTGGATGAACACTGGTCTAAGCCAATACCAGTAATTCCATGACCCCAGCCTGGGACCAGCTTAGGAAGTGTCATGTGACCTGGGGTGTCAAATTCATAATGAGATGCCAGGGGACATCTGCTGGAGGGACGGGGAGTCCCTCCTGGGAAAGGTTCCTTAAAAGGAGAGACAAGGAAGACATACTTTCTTCCTCTGCCTCTTACTGTATGAGCAGGAGACCTGGGAAGTTCTTCTACCACTGGGCAGCCGTAAGGAGAGAAGCTGATCCAACTGAGATGCAGAAAGGAGGGATAGGAAAAGCCTGGGTCCTTGAGGATGTAGCTGGCCTGGTGTATTAGCCAGATATAGAACCTCTCTACCTCTGGACTCCGCTTATCAATAGACCCCTTATGATTTAGGCCCATTGGATCAGTTGTCATTTACTTGCAGCCAAGAGCACCTTCTCTAGTCCTCTCTGCTAGTCTTTTCCCCGAAGCTCTCCACGCTTGACCTGAGTGTCATTGGACTGACTGGAGAAACAAGCCAGCTCCTTCTTCCATCCAATCCTTATTTG